TCTCCACTATCCCCTTTTCACTCTTCACTCTCCACTCTCCATTATCCACTCTCCACTTTCCACTCTCTACTCTCCACTTTCCATTTTCCACTCTCCACTTTCCACTCTCCACTTTCCACTCTCCACTTGTCTATTGTTTGTTGTCTGTGGTCTCTTGTGGCCGACCTCTCCGGGCCGACGCCCGGACCCGGATGTCTCGTAACGTCGAGTCCCGGCGGACGGCCGGTCTGCCGGCCGGGCCAATCGCGGCCCAGTGAGACCGGTCGGTGATGGGCAAATTGGCCGGTCTCGAGCAGCAGCCGGCGTCGGAGCAGCCAATGACCGCGGCCAGTCGGTGCAGACAACTCGACCCGCCGGCCAACTGGCTCGCGGACGGTGTCGTCTGCCGGGCCGACGTCAAGCGCTCCACGAGCCGAGCCCGCAGTCGAGGTGGGCCTCGAGCTTGCGGCTGTTGCGTCCGACCGAAGGACGGCGAGGCCGAAAGACGTCGACGCCGATTGAAGGAGAGAGCGAGACGCCGTCTACGTCGGCGTCTGCAGACCGTCGACTATCGGACCCATTCGTACGAAGACGGTGAAAGTGGACAAACCAGCCTGTCTGAAGCGGCCTCGGTGGATGAAAATGACGATGATGATGTTGATGCTGATGCTGATGCTGAAAATGCTGATGTTAGTGATGATGATGTAGATGAAGAAGAAGAAGATGATGATGATGATGATGATGATGATGGGTTAGAGTACGGACTGGCCTGGTACCTGCGGGCCTACGAGGTGGGGCTGCAGTTCATGAAGGACGCGCTCTTCATCTACGAGACGCCCAAAGTGGTGCTGATCAAGAACAAAAAGATCGGAATGGTCTTCCGCGCCGTGCAGACGTTCATTCTGGCCTACTTCGTCGTCTGGGTGATGTGGTGGGAGAAGGGCTACCAGTTCGTGGACGAGCCGCCCATCAGCGGCGTGACGACTCGCGTCAACGGCCTGGCCTGGTCCGAGATCCGCGACGGCCGTGCCGGTTTCGCGGCCGGTCCCAAGGTCTGGGACGACGGCGACTACTCGATCCCGCCGCAGCAGAACTCCGGCTTCTTCGTCGTCACTCGAGTCGTCCATCTGACCGAGCAGTCTGTCGGTGTGTGTGCCGAGTCGGCGCGCCTCTTCGACGCCCACTGTCTGGAGGACTCGCACTGTCCGCGCGGCGGTCAAGCCGGCAGCCGATTGGACAGCGTGTTCGGTCGCCGACCGGCCGACGCCGACGTCGACGTCGACGCCAGCGGACACGGCGTCTTCACGGGCCGCTGTCTGACCAATCGGCTGCCGGCGTCCACTCCGGACTCGAGCCCGGCACTGCCGGGCACCTGCGAAGTGCTCGCCTGGTGTCCTGTCGTCGAGACGTCCAGCCTGTCCAGTCGGGCCGGCCAAGCGCCGGCAGACTCGAACCCACGACCCGTGCCAGACGACACAGCCTCTCGGCGACCGGCCAATCACAACCGTCGCCAGCGGCGTCTGGTACCGCTCGACGAGTCGGTCGAGCCGCTCTACGATGCGCTCAACTACACGGTCTTCATCAAACACGCCATCGAGTTCACGGCCTATCGCGTGAACCGGCCAAACGTGCTCAAATGGATGACAAACCAGTATCTGGCCGACTGCCGCAACAACAAAGATGACCCTCGCGACAAGTACTGTCCCATCTTCCGGCTGGGCGACATCATTCGCTGGTCGGGCGCCAACACCTACCGAATGCTGCGTCACGGCGGCGTGATCGCCGTCACCATCGACTGGCAATGCGATCTCGACTTCAGCGTCGACTGGTGCCTACCCACCTACGGCTTCCGGCAGATGGACACCGACTCGACGCCTG